TACAAGAGTATTGCGGGAGTATTGCATTCACCTGCCTTCCTCACTGGTGTCTCCAAATGCTGGGCCAAACACATGCCTCCTTTGCAGGAAATGTGTGTTAGTGTAACCAGACGTCCCCGTTTCCCGGGGACAGTCACCGTATTTACAAATCAGTCCCCATACAAAATCCATTGAGGTTGAAAAGTGTCCCCGGATTCATTGAAAAAAATCTGGTAACCTTATGTTAGTGAGACCAGACATCGCTTCTCTATTCATTCCCTGACCTCCACACTTTCATTTTAAAGAGAATACAAATTTACAGGGTGGGAAAGGGATAATATGTTTGCCTCTCCCTTTTCAAACTGCTTTGTATTAAAATTTTACAACACAAACACTATAATAAACCTAAAAAGACACAAGTCAGGGGTGGTGTTGACAGCTGCCAGTACAGTATTAGACAGAAATGAGGGCAGTTTGCTTCATGGTGTTAAGGGCGTTTCACCTTAAAGCTGGAAAAGGTTCTGAAAACGACAACCAAAATGTTCCAGAGGGTGGAGCAATTCCCCAGTCAGGAGAAGTTACAATATTCAGGGATTTTTTCGTTTAGAGAAAAGGAGAGTAAGGGGATATCCAATAAAGGTGTATAAGATTACTTGAGGTGTGGATAAAGAGGAGAGAGGGAAGTCTTTCCTCCCTCTCACCTAATACTACAACCTGAGACTCCCGAGTGAAGCTGAATGCTGGAAGACTCTGGGCAAACAAAAAGAAGTGATTATTCACACGGTGGCAGCACATAGCTAAACAATGGAACACGGATAACTTTAAAGCCTTATTTAGGCAGATTCACAGAGGATGGGACTATCGGTGGCTGCCATTCACAATGGCTGTGTCCTTCCGCCAGCACTGCCGAATACAAGCTTCTGGGAACAGAAGTTTTTGCGTATTTCTAGAAGCGATAAATGCTTATACTGATGCTGTGGTTGTTTTTTTAAAAAAAGAAAACAGTCTTGTGGCTGCTACACCGCTCATCTCCCCTTTTAAATGCCTGTAGTTGTAGCCCCTCTAGACCAATGTGGTGTAGTGGTTAAGAGCGGTAGTCTCGTAATCTGGGGAACCGAGTTCGCGTCTCCGCTCCTCCACATGCAGCTGCTGGGTGGCCTTGGGCCAGTCACACTTCTCTGAAGTCTCTCAGCCCCACTCACCTCACAGCGTGTTTGTTGTGGGGGAGGAAAGGAAAGGAGAATGTTAGCCGCTTTGAGACTCCTTAAAGGGAGTGAAAGGCGGGATATCAAATCCAAACTCTTCTCTTCTTCTTCTTCTTCTTCAGTCTTGGTGGGCATGCATTTTTGGGATGGGCCTCAGCTCACTCTTAACCAGGGGTCAGCAACCTTTTTGAGCCATGGGCCGGTCCACCGTCCCTCAGACCTTGTGGGGGGCTGGACTATATTGGGGGCGGGGGATGAACGAATTCCTATGCCCCACAAATAACCCAGAGATGCATTTTAAATAAAAGGACACATTCTACTCATGTAAAAACACACTGATTCCCAGATGGTCCGCAGGCCGGATTGAGAAGGCGATTGGGCTGCATCCGGCCCCCAGACCTTAGCTTGCCTACCCCTGCTCTTAACCTTGTGTTACCAGCTATAGGGCTGGTGTCAAGGGCTGGACTGAGGAGGAATGGTGTGGACCGCCCCCTCCCTTTTCTTGAACCTCCCCGAGAACAGGAGGACAGTATTGATTTAGAACAGTGGTTTGCAGAAGGGCATAGTTCAGAGGCTGCAGAGGGGAGAAGCTGGGAAATATTGGAAGAGGAACAGTAGAAAGAAGAAGCACCACCAGGGGAGAGACAGCTGACAGACTCAGTTTCCTTGGAAATCATTCCTGACTCCCCCCGCTCCCAGAACCAGGTGGGCATTGAGGGTATTGGAACAGAGAGCTCAGAAGCAGAAAGCTCAGATTAGCCGACACAGGAGTGACGTCTGATGGGGAGGCGTAGGGGCATGGGACTTTACTTGGAGCAATGCCATTATTAGGGAAGGCTGCATTCCTTCATTGCTCTCTGTGAATTATTGAATAAATTGCTTGGTGAGAACTTTTATCATTTCTCTGATTCTTGGCTACCACTGTGAGAGGGATCTGATTCCCTAAAGCCTGACAGTTGGGCAGAACAAATTCACACATGCCGTACGCAGAGCATACAGACACCTCTCCCTTTGAGATCCGCAGCAGTTTTGAGCATGAACTTTGTAGGAATCCCACTTGTGTACAAAGTACACCATACCACGGTCCAGCAGAGTTTGCGTTGTCGTAGTCCCATCTATGCAGAGCACCTGTTTGCACTCTGCTTCAGGCAGGGATATCTGAGTACTGTGGATGAATATCGGCTGTTCTGTACACGGAAGCAAAATGGTTCCCTTTTCCATGTGCACGGTGACCTGACAGCCTAAAAGCAAGGGAGGCTCTGGGATGATGCCGTGACGCAGTGCGTCCAGAGGTTTGTCATGGGACTGGCTTGTGTAGCAGGGTTGTTTTCGATACCACCCCCTTGTAGCTTAGAGTAAAAAAGGTAAAGGACCGCTGGACGGTTAAGTCCCATCATAGGTGACTATGGAGTGCAGCACTCAGCTCACTTTCAGGCTGAGGGAGCCGGCATTTGTCCACAGACAGCTTTCTAGGTCATGTGGCCAGCATGACTAAACCACTTCTGGCACAACGGGACACAGTGATGGAAACCAGAGTGCACAAAAACACCATTTACCTTCCCGCTGCAGCGGTACCTATTTATCTACTTGCACTGGTGTGCTTTCGAACTGCTAGGTTGGCAGGAGCTGGGACAGAGCTTAGAGTGCACCTCTGTTGGAAGAGGCCCTCCAACATGGAGCCCTTGATCTGGGTTGAGACCGTGTTTCAGGTCAGGATGCCACAGCTGCTTTTTCTTCAAAACAAAAGTGGCCAGTTTAACCATGCTTTTTTCCCAAAGCTTTGGTCCTCGGTTTTGATTCTGATCAAGCAGAAGAGGTAGTTCTCAAGCGAGCCACAAGAGGGCAACCCACACTTTCATGCAGAACAGTTTCCCATCCCTTCTAAAACAAAGTTTTCTCTTCTTTCTTGCATTTTTTGAAGATTACGTTTTATTTAATGAAGCAAGCAAAACACAGGAGGGAAAGTAAGACTTACAGCTCCATGATTTGTAGGTCGAATAGCCACATTTCACTGGGATCCAAAGTGCTACTGCAATGTGTATTAGCCAAGGATGTAATACAGAAATCTCAGCACATTTTTTTAAAAAAATGAATTCATGTAAGCAGTTAAACAAAACAATGTAAAATCCAGCAATCACTAGCTGCACTTGGAAGCAAGGTTCTTCTGTGTCCTGCATTACCTGGAGCTGCTCTAAATCAGGCCTATACATTTGTTTTCAAAAAGTGCACCCACTATTTGTGGTGCAGTGTTTAGAGTATCTGACTAGCACAAGGGAGACTTGGGTTCAAATCCCTATTCAGCCATTTAGCTCACTGGGGGACCTTGGGCCAATCACTGGTTTTCAGCCTCACCTACCTCCAAGGGTTGTTGTGCAAATAAAATGGGCAGAGAGGGAATGCCATGCATTATTCTTGAGGTCCTTAGAGGAAAACCGAGATAAAAACAAATAATAATCACTTTTGGAAGCAGGCTAGAGGGGAGAGGCCCACTGAATCCACTTTTTTCTCATGTTCTCCAACAGGCAATTAGCACTATCAGATACTGGTGAACACCTTTTCACCAGTTCGAAGTAGGAATCAAAGTATGTTACTGCACACAAAGAGATGAGGAATTTAATGTATACAGAACACTTCAGTGAAACATGCGAAGCACAGTGTAATAAGCACTCAGAGCCGACTAAAAATATAGGAAGGTAGCAAACGGCAACAGTTCTCCCCTGGCAAGTGTTCTTTAAGCACCGTGGGCATGCTCTGTACAGCACTTAGCACGCTGTGCTAAATAAATGTTAGAACAGCATTCACAGTTAAGTAGTTAGGAGATCAAAGTGGTGTTACCCATATGATGGATATTTGGATATCAGCATTGCCTGTCTATAACAAGGCATACAGTGGTACCTTGGTTCTCAAACCTGATTCATTCCGGAAGTCCGTTCCAAAACCAAAGTGTTCCAAAACCAAGGCGTGCTTTCCCATAGAAAGTAAGGCAAAATGGATTAATCCATTCCAGATTTTTAAAAACAACCCCTAAAACAGCAATTTAACATGAATTTTACTATCTACCGAGACTATTGATCCATAAAATGAAAGCGATAGACAATGTACTGCATTGTTTGCAGACAATGTACTGCAATTGTTTGCAGACAATCAATCAATCAGTAGCTGAACTGGGTTCCACATAGTCACAAAAACAAAACAATAAAGCCGCAAAAACGAAAACGCAAAATCAATAGCAAAAACAGACAGGCCTCAGTGTAACACTCAAAATGGAGTATGTTCGGCTTCCGAAAAAAGTTTGCAAACCAGAACACTTACTTCTGGGTTTGCAGTGTTTGGGTTCCAAGTTGTTTGAGTACCAAGGCGTTTGAGAACCAAGGTACCACTGTATTTTGAATGTGTGCAACACATCAGTTCTTCTCCTCTATATTTGTGCACCTAGCCGCCTATAACACCTAAGAGAAATCTCTCAAGGTAACTCTGGGCTAAGAGCGGACAAATCAATTTCACAGAGATTCAGCAACCTGGGGAGGATTCCTTCCTGCACATGTGAGCACCCCACTTTAAATCCTGTGAGAGCCGATGAGTTGCAGTCCGTGGAACAGGAATCAAGATCTGCACCTGTCCTTTCGAAGGGTGTTGACGTGCGAGATGACAGCCTCAAATCAGAAAGGAATGGAGGCTTAGTTGAGCTGGTTGTGAAAGTATAAGTTGTCCGGGCGTTGTTCTCTGTCAAGATGCTAAAGCAACAAATGGTATGTGTTGACCAACTGACTTCTCAAGGGCAGTCAATTGCAAAACACTTCGTACCCACCCACCCCCTTAGGCTTCGTCGCTGTATTTCTTCACGCTAAACCTTGCGTTCATTAGCGGCTCAAAACCTTTCCGGTGTCTCCGGTGCTGGAAGAGGATAAGCAGAAGGACCAGAACAAGTAAAGCAATCAGAGCTCCTCCAATGGTAGATCCAACCATGAGAGCCCAAGCGCGGGCCTCTTCAGCCGATTCTGTGAAGGCAGAAGAGCAAAGCCAATCGTTAAGTTGTGGGTGAACATATCAGACGACACAGCGATACTTCAAACAGCTCTTGTTTATTCACAGGCCAGAACAGAACTGAAATGAAGGGTTCAGCCAGCCTCCTTATATAGAGCTCCACTAGAACGCAACAGTAACCATTTTCTGTAATTATCCAATCACTGAACGTCACTTTCAGTCCCTTATTTGCATATGTGGTCCTGAATGAAAACTATCTACAGTATCCCCCTGCTGGCCCAGGGTGAGAACTTCAGTACATAACACCAATTATGGTCTACAAATGACAAACAGGTCAAATCTGTAATGATACGCTGGGCGGGAGACTTTGGGTATAACATACAGCTCACAGCTTGAGAGAGGTTATGGAATTGGGATTTAAAGTTCACGGCATGTTATATGTCACGCCTGTGGGACATGCGCTGGGCCCCCTCAATATCAAGGGGTCCCAGCCCCTTTAATAATAATAAGAATAATAAGAATAATAGTAATAAGAATAAGAATAATTTATACCCCACCCTCTCCAGCCAGAGCTGGGCTCAGGGCAGCTAACACCAATAAAATTACAATAAAACATAATGGGGGGGGAGGGAGAAACTAAAAAAAAAAACAGTTTATTAAAATACGGGTTAAAATACAATTTAAAATGCAGCCTTATTTTAATAGTAGCCCATAAATCAAAACCATAAGGGGAAGGAAACATAAGGGTCAGACTGAGTCCAAACCAAAGGCCAGGTGGAACAGCTCTGTCTTGCAGGCCCTGCAGAAAGATGTCAAGTCCCCCAGGGCCCTAGTCTCTTGTGACAGAGCGTTCCACCAAGTCAGGGCCAGTACTGAAAAGGCCCTGGCCCTAGTTGAGACCAATCTAACCACCTTGCGGCTTGGGACCTCCAAAGTGATGTTATTTGTGGACCTTAAGGTCCTCCGTGGGGCATATCAGGAGAGGCAGTCCCGTAGGTATGAGGGTCCTAGGCCGCAACGAAGACTGAAAGGGCCGGAGATACATCAGCCCTCAAAGTTGGCATGTCTGCTGCCAAGGGTTGGGTGGTGCTGAGAGTGACACTGAGTGTCTGAAGCTGTTGGTCCGAGGGTCTTCTAGTGGTTCCCTCATTGTGAGATGTGAGCTTACAGGGAATCAGGCAGATGGCCTTTTGGGTAGTTGCGTCCGCCCTGTGGAACATCCTCCCCCAACAGATGTCAAACAGATAAATAGCTTTGTGATTTTGGGGACTTGAGGTTCACAGCATGTTATACACTGAAAGAAAATTATATGAAAATGATGTACCGACGGCATCAAACTCCTAGTAAATTAGCAAAAATGTATAAAACGTGTTCAAATGTATGCTGGAAATGTAAGGGGAAAGAAGGCACCTTTTATCATATGTGGTGGAATTGTAAGGTAGTAAAAGGATTTTGGGAAATGATATATAATGAGTTGGGAAAAAATGTTTAAAATAACCTTTGTTTAAAAGCCTGAAGTCTTCCTTTTAGGAATTCTAGGTGTGGAAATCCCAAAGGAGCAGAAAATACTATTTATGTATACGACCACGGCTGCACTGATGTTACTGGCCCAGAGATGGAAAGAAGATAAATTTCCTACGAGAGAAGAATGGCAGATGGAGTTAATGGATTATGCTGAAATGGCTAAAATGACCGGAAGAGTCCGAAATCAGGAAGACCAAAATTTCAATAAGGAATGGGGGAAATTTATAAGCTACCTTAAAGACCATTGTAAACAGTTAAAATCGTTAGTAGGATTGGAATATCACTTGTAGTTTAAGGTTAAATTCCGGACATAGTGGAAGAGGTAAAGGATTTGGATTAAAGATGAGGGAGGAAAGGATTAATAATAGGACCAAAATAGGGGAGGATGGAAGTCCAGGAGATTCCTTGGAATCTTGCTTTTATGATTTATGCCTAATATAACTCTAAATTTTTAATTTGAAACACCAAATAAATAAATTTTGTACAAAGAACAAAGAACAAAGCCACAGCCACACTCTAACCATTACACTAAATCCCTGGACAACTGCCATAATTGACAATGCTTCCATTGTTTTTAATAGCCATGCTATTAAACCGGTGGCGATTGTAAGCCAAAACAACCAGGGGCACCAGTTTGGCAAAGGCTACCACACTGTGCCCTTAGCCCAGAGTGGTACCACACTGCGACAACTGGTACATGCTGCAGTGCTGAGCTCTTGCAAGCTAAACTATATAACTCACAAAACTATCTAGTTACCAGGCAAGTCAATGGCATAGCTGTAGCCAAGTTGTTCTGCAGGTAGAAACAGTTCATCATTGGCCACTGGAGGGAAGAAAGGCACCATGTTGAACTTCCGGTTGTGGCCAATAGGAGCCAGTTCTTCAGGCCACGCACTGCCAGATGGGCGAAATCGTTTCATCCATTCATCAAAAATAGCGTCCGTAAAGGAATGGAGGACCTGGGAAGCCAATTCACATATGATCTTAAGCTCACAGGGATATGCCCAGGCCAATATGATGAAAACAAATAATTTGCCCGTGTTCATTTTATTCCCTGTGCTGTTTATCATCTATATGAAACTACTGAGTGGGGTCATCTGGAGTTTTGGAGCACAGTGGTGCCTCGGTTAAGAACAGCCCTATTTATGAACTATTCGGTTTACGAAACTCCGCAAAACTGGAAGTAGTGTCCCGGTTTGCGAACTTTACCTTGGTCTAAGAACGGAAGCCGAATGGTGGAAGGGCATCGGAGGCAGGAGGCCTCATTAGGGAACACATCTCAGTTTAAGAACGGTTTCAGTTTGAGAACGGACTTCCAGAACAGATTAAGTTCATAAACCAAGGTACCACTGTACATTGACAGCAATACGCTGATGATACACAACTCTGTTTCTCTTTTACATCTGTGAGGTGAGACAGCGGATGTGCTGGACCGATGTCATGCCTCAGTAATAGACCGGATGAGAGCCAACAGACTGAAGCTCAAGGCAGATAAGACTGACGCACTGTTAGTGGGTGGTTCCCTAGACCAGATGGATGGGAGGTTGCCTGCTCTTGATGGGAGTCGGAGTCTATCAACACTTGAAGGCCCACACATTTCCTAGTCCTATCATAATGCAATCAGCAGTGCTGGCTGTTACTTCCTGGCATGCTTTGAAGTGACACCAAGACTCAATATTTAAAATAATCCAAATTTCAGATAAATGAAGCCACGATCTGTAGGTAAGGGGAGCAAATGAGCCTCAAACCCTCAGTGAGTTGAGGACTTCTGCTGCATGCAAAGTGAGGCTGCAGTGGATTGAGCAGATGAGACTAAGAGTGGGTCCAATGGTCAAAAATATGGTTTCTGCATGTGTTGTAGAAGGAAGTAAGGGGTAGATGGGGCTCTTCAACCCCGAAAAGTAGCCCATCTTGTTATCTCACAGGATACCTTTGGGAAAAGGGACGCGGGTTAAACCACAGAGCCTAGGACTTGCTGATCAGAAGGTCGGCGGTTCGAATCCCCACGACAGGGTGAGCTCCCGTTGTTCGGTCCCTGCTCCTGCCAACCTAGCAGTTCAAAAGCACGTCAAAGTGCAAGTAGATAAATAGGTACCACTCCGGCGGGAAGGCAAACGGCGTTTCCATGCGCTGCTCTGGTTCGCCAGAAGCGGCTTAGTCATGCTGGCCACATGACCCAGAAGCTGTACGTCCGCTCGCTCGGCCAATAAAGCGAGATGAGCGCCGCAACCCGAGAGTCGGTCACGACTGGACCTAATGGTCAGGGATCCCTTTACCTTTGGGAAAAGAAAAGGTTAAGGAATAAACTCTATACAAATCTGGAGTGGAGTCACTAAGACGGTTGGACCTTGTACACCTCTTTCCAGCAACTCCTGCAGCCAAGCTAGTGTCAAACATATTGCTCTGCTTTCCTTTGGACCACATCAGGGAGGTAATAACAAGCGGTATGTTACAACGGCTGTGAAGGTGGATGAAGGCTGCAGCAGATAAGAATCTACTGGTCATCGTGACTACTCATGCCATTGGAACAGAGCCTTACTGCGAAGACTGTGCGCTGGTCAGCATGCACTGATCTACACACATAGAACAAATTCAAGCACAGGAATCTTCCAAAAACCTGACCCAAAGCCAAACCCCAAAAGTCCCACGGTGATCGGCAAATGGTAACGGGGGCAGGATCGTGAAATCTGGAAGCCCCTAGTCATGAACTGGCACATGGGCGGTGGATACAGATTTAGTCGTTCTGACTCAAGGAACGACGCAGTTGAGCAGCTCAGCAGCTGTATCCATGACTCAGCGGCCCTTTTTAGGATCCACTCTTCTCACCCCAAAAAGGGGGAGGAGCTAGAAAAGGTGCCCTAAACATAGTCTGCCTCCCTTTTTCCCTGACTGGATTATCAATGTCCCCACTGTGGAAGGACGTGTGGATCCAGAATTAGCCTCCACAGTCACTTACGGACTCATTGTTAAAACCGTGTTTATGGGAGACAATCTTACTCAGCTATACGAGTGATCACCAAAGAAAGGAAGAAGAAGAAAGAATCAGGGAGATCTTGTCTAGACAGCCCAGGACCTCCATACATACTGCCCAAGTTGCACACAGTGGAATGTTACTTCGGTGCAGCTAGCACAGTGATTTGGAGGTGCACTCGATATGGAAGCCAACAACAATATTTAAGAACTGCAAGGTTGGATTTAATAATATATCAATATTACTACGTCTAGATTCTCTAATGGGCTGGTCCTGGGATGCGGGTTTTCATTTTCTCTCCGTTTTTATCAGTTTTATTTATTACATTTATATCCCTGTGGAGTTCAGGGGTTCTGTGAGATCTATAAAGGCATCAGCTCTACTGAGACCAGCATCTTGTGCCTTCAGGTCCTTCTCTGGGCCACAGAGAATGAAAATCCCCCTCCTTCTTTGGGTATCAACCATTCTTTAAAAACCTGCCATGAAGGAACGCAGCTGTGGCTTCTTTCCGTAGGCATCATTACAGAATTGTACTGCAGTCAATCAGAGTTCTTACATTTATAACATGTTTTTTTCCATGTACGGTAGTTCTTCTATTTGCATTACTAAAGCTGCAGGGTTTGAGCTTTAATTTAGCCACCAGATGGAGCTCACATACTCCGTTATGCCCCCAGAACACTGATCTTGTGAATTAACAGAGCCACTTTCATGCATACAAAATATTCCTTCTTCCCTGCTCCCCCCCCCCCCCCCGTCTGCCCACATTTGTTGTTGTTGTTTAGTTGTTTAGTCGTGTCCGACTCTTCGTGACCCCATGGACCAGAGCACGCCAGGCACTTCTGTCTTCCACTGCCTCCCGCAGTCTGGTCAAACTCATGCTGGTAGCTTCAAAGACACCTTCCAACCATCTCATCCTCTGTCATCCCCTTCTCCTTGTGCCCTCCATCTTTCCCAACATCAGAGTCTTTTCCAGGAGTCTTCTCTTCTCATGAGGTGGCCAAAGTATTGGAGCCTCAGCTTCACAATCTGTCCTTCCAGTGAGCACTCAGGGCTGATTTCCTTCAGAATGGATCGGTTTGATCTTCTTGCAGTCCATGGGACTCTCAAGAGTCTCCTCCAGCACCATAATTCAAAAGCATCAATTCTTTGGCGATCAGGCTTCTTTATGGTCCAGCTTTCACTTCCATACATCACTACTGGGAAAACCATAGCTTTTACTATACGGACCTTTGTTGGCAAGGTGATGTCTACTTTTTAAGATGCTGTCTAGGTTTGTCATTGCTTTTCTCCCAAGAAGCAGGTGTCCTTTAATTTTGTGGCTGCGGTCACCATCTGCAGTGATCATGGAGCCCAAGAAAGTAAAATCTCTCTTTTAAAAAAAATAAATAATATTTATTACTTTTAAAGATTACAAAAAGGAAAAGAAAGAAATGGAAAGGGGAAAAAAGCAAGATGAAGAAAAAAAACCAAAAAAACAATACAATACAATGTATACACAATACACAACACATCACTAACACAATAAACTAAGCAATACAATAAACTAAGCAAGACATAACAAACACAATTTAAAACACACATCAAACCATTTCAATATCATATCTTACATTCACTTGTTTCAACGACCTCCTCACACCTCCCTTTTTGTATTCCACTTCTATTAATTGTTTCAGCAATTCCTTTCCATCTTCCTCTATTTTCTGTCATATAGTTATCTTAGCATATTTTAACCTTATTTTCCCTTTAATACTCCAATGATCTACTTGTACTTAATTCCTTCTAACATTTCTACTAAAGCCGTATAGTTTCATTCCAACATTTTTCTAGCACTCATTAATTTTACAATATTTCCATAACTAGTCCTTAAACTTTTTCCAATCTTCTTCCACCGGCTCTTCTTCCTGGACTTGGATTCTGCCAGTCAATTCCATATAGTCCATCAACCTGGTAATCTTCTGTCCGAGGCTCTTAAGTCTTTTCCAAGTCTCTTCTGCAAATCTTCTTCATATTTGTACATGCACTTTACTTTGTCTTCTGCTGATGTTATTTTTATTTTCCTTCCTTTGAGACTGAAGGGTAGATCTCGGGGAAACTCCCACCTAGAGATGATTTTATTCCTTCTCGACAGGGCAGCCAAATCTCCGTCGTTAAAACTAAGATCCAAACGATATTTCGGGACATCTTTCAAAATTTCTCCAAGTCTGTAGGCCCTCACAATTTTAATCTCTTCTTGACCCAAGTCCAGGTCCCCAAAATCAGCAAGTTCCTGTGTGAGGGGATCTACCCAACTTTCCTTCTCCAATTCGGGTAGAGCTCTGGTCCTCAAAATCTGATTTTCTTTAAATTCAATCATAGAAGGCATCAACTTATGATCATCAAATTGCATCCGTAAGGCTGGGACCCTCTCTCTCTCCAGTTGTGTTACTTTAGGTTCAACAACAGCAACTTTCTTCCTGGTCTTCTCCACAGTTTGCCATGTCAGAGTAGATTCCTGTATCAATTTCTGAATAGTTTCTGTATTGATGTTCACTTTTTGTCCCAAATTATCGATTTTGGTAGTTACCACATCCACCTTCTTGTTAAGCTGTTCCAGTGAGTCATTTATCTTACTTAGTACTGCCACTAAGGCCTCTTCTGTCAACATTCTTAACCGATTCAAGGTCAGTCCCAGAGTCTCACAGCTTTTTATCTTGCAGCTGGAAATTCCCCCAGCTCAACTCTTGTAACAGTTTCAAAGGCTTCCTCTAGAGGGAAACAGTTTCTATTTGTATTGGTCCTTTTAAACACAGTCCAAACAATAAAGTTAGTTTCAATTTTCAATTACTTTTACTTCTTTTTAAACGCAGACGGAGACAATGGAAACAAAGTATTTCTCTTATTTAACTAGCTGTCAGTGAACGTTCTAATCGCAGTCAATAAGCATTCTAAGGCACGTCAATCCTACCGGCAGCCCGTTTCCAGGATCGGAGCGGTGGTATTTTAACTCTGTTCGCTCTCTCCTGCAGGTATATTCGGTCCAAAGCTTTCCCCCCTCTTCTCCTGCCACCAAGGGGGGTTTAGTATTTTTTACTGATGGAAATTTAGTCCTTTAGGATAGACTTTCCGTGACTTCAGCTTGCATTCATTGCTTCAATCTATTTACAAAGAGGGAAGGTGGACTTCCTGTTTTGGACCTCCCCGTTTCAACACCAAATTAAGACGTTTAAAAATCCAATTCTCCGCTCTACTCACGGGTAGTTGCTTTAAGATCAAATTGTCCACAGGAAAAAGTCAGCGCTCTCCGGCAACAGCTATGCAGCTTCGCTCCGTGGAAAAAGCAATCAATTTGCAGCACCGCGCTGCTCACCCCACGTCGCTCCGGATCCCTGAAACCGGGTTTCCCCACGAGTAGGGGAGGTGCAAAAGGTGCCAGCCGAATCCCACGTTCACAGGCTTCACCTGCCTGTGATTTTTAGTGGGTCTCCCCCTTCGCCGTGGCGGCCAGACCCGAATTTCCACGAGGCAAATTCCTCCCGATCAGAGGAATTCCGCCATTACCGGAGGCGCCAACCCGGAAGTCGAAAGTAAAATCTCTCACTGTCTGCCCACATAGGGGTTCTGTAAGGTGCACGAATAGGACACTCCTGTCCTCACAAAAGGGTTGTAAATACTTTATCAAAACAAAACGAGTAATGAATCAGATTTTGATTTGTCTTTTTAAATAATAATAATAATAATAATAATAATAATAACAATAATAATAATAATACATTTATTTATACCCCACCCATCTGGCTGGGTTTCCCCAGCCACTCTAGGCTGAGGAATATTCCCCAACAGAATATTAAAAACACGATAAATCATCAAACATTAAGTACTTCCCTAAATAGGGCTGCCTTCAGGTGTTGTCAAAAAGTCAGATAGTTGTTTATTTCCTTGACATCTGATGGGAGGGTGTTCCACAACCTCCTCCCTTCTGTGTCTAAATGATCTGATCAGAGAGTTGTTTTTACCTCCATAATTCATTCCATTATTTTGAAATGCAGGTCAGATTTCGAAAGTGGACTAAAGTCTGTTTATATGGCGTCAGATCACGGATTCACCAACCTGACTACTTTTGACATATGTTGGTTAAATCTGAAGTGACAACACTAACCCAGTGGTTCTCAACTGGTGGTTCACAGACTCCAGGAGATCTGTATAACCCATCCATCATGGGTTCGGGACATCCTGTTTTGGGGGGCCCTGCTCTCATGTGAGAGCACAGCACCTAAAAACGTGTGTGATCATGGCTGGACAGATGTCTTGCTCAAGATCACAGCTCCAAAAAGGGCACACATCCGGCTCTAGTAAAAATTGAAAACGTCAATATTGGGTGGATAGCACTAGCAGGTACACCAAATAATCAAAAGAAGACATGACTTCTGTTCTCATTCGTAGAAGTGGTCCTCCTGGGAAATGTTCCCCAATAGGTAAAGGACCCCTGAACAGTTAGGTCCAGTCAAAGGCAACTATGGGGTTGGGGTGCTCATCTCGCTTTCAGGCCGAGGGAGCCTCTGTTTGTCCACAAACGGCTTTCTGGGTCATGTGGCCAGCAGGACTAAACCGCTTCTGGCGCAACGGAACACCATGACGGAAACCAGAGCGCATGGAAATGCCGTTTACCTTCCCGCTGCAGCAGTACCTATTTATCTACTGGGACTGGCGTGCTTTTGACATGCTAGGTTGGCAGGAGCTGGGACAGAGCAACTGGAGCTCACTTTGTCATGGGGATTCTAACTGACGACCTTCCAATCGGCAAGCCCAAGAGGCTCAGTGCTTTAGACCACAGTGGCACCCATGTCCCAATAGGCATATTTGGTTACAAGGACTTCAAGGGACCCAAAATGAGATAAGGACATACCACAAATACAGGATCGTTCACTGCAGAATGAGGGAAAGCACTTGTTCCGTTCAAGACCGAGTGGACCAAGTTATGGAGGCTCACGGCTGATGGGCCCAGGGTTCCATTGGGTTCATCAAAGCCTTCCAAAGTATTCCTGTGTCAAGCAACGCAGAGCATTACCATCTCACAAGCTCCGTTGTGCAGCAAAGCAAACGATGCAAACCAAAGAACTAACCTGAAGCTAAAACTAGAATTCCGAAAGAAAGGCGGCTTGTCAAAGTCTTGCAGAGAGAGGCAATTCTGGACATCTTCCATGGTTGGTAGCCGGTCCCCTGCTTTGCTGAATGGGTTCCTCTGCAGAAGTCCTTCATTGGTCCCATTACAAAGTGTAACCAGCCGGTTATAGTCATCCAAACTTGGGTTTACAAATAGAGAGACATGAAGCAGTCAGACTTGATTTTGGGCTGAGCTTTCTTGTTATTGATTTTATGCAGGGAGGAAGACAGGCCAAAAGCTTTAATTGGTTTTAACTGGAAGATTACCGTATTTTTTGCTCTATAAGACGCACTTTTTCCCTCCTAAAAAGTAAGGGAAAATGTGTGTGCGTCTTATGGAGCAAATGCAGGCTGTGCAGCTATCCCAGAAGCCAGAACAACGAGAGGGATCACTGCGCAGCGCTCCCTCTTGCTGTTCTGGCTTCTGGGATTCAGAATATTTTTTTTCTTGTTTTCCTCCTCCAAAAACTAGGTGCGTCTTATGGTCTGGTGCGTCTTATAGAGCGAAAAATACGGTGATTGGCCGGTCCTTAGTTAATCTTCCCATTGGGGGAAATGTTGATCACCCATACATCAAGTGTTTGCGCACCAGGGAGCATAGGAGCAGGGGCGTCTTACCCATAGAGGCTAGTGGCGCGGGGCGCCAGGGCGCCAAGTTCTGAAGGGTGCCAGGCAAGAGGCGGAGGCTGGACACAGCTCCTCCCAGCACCAGCTCACCACCCTCGCCCACCTCCACCATGCCGTGCCGAAGCAGTGCCGCACCTGGAGCCTCCGTCTGCCATGGCCACCACGGCACGAAGCATCCAGGTGAGCCAGGAGGCGTCGCGTCCAGCCTCCACCTCTTCCCCACCGGAGGAGCCGCCCTCCAGCCGCTGACCGCCTCCTGCAGCCCTGCCAGCAGTGCAGTCCTCCTTAAAAAAACTCTGGGAAAAGTTTTGCACCACGGCGCCGGATATAATAATAATAATAATAATAATAATAATAATAATAATAAATTTTATTTATACCCCGCCCTCTCCGGCCAGAGCCGGGCTCAGGGCAGTTAACACCAGTAAAATTACAGTAAAAACAAAATGGGGGGCAATTTAAAATACAGGTTAAAATGCAATTTAAAATGCAGCCTCATTTTAAAAGTAGCCCATAGATCAAAACCATAAGGGGAGGGAAACATAAGGGTCAGACTGAGTCCAAACCAAAGGCCAAGCGGAACAGCTCTGTCTTGCAGGCCCTGCGGAAAGATGTCAAGTCCTGCAGGGCCCTAGTCTCTTGTGACAGAGCGTTCCACCAAGTCAGGGCCAGTACTGAAAAGGCCCTGGCCCTAGTTGAGACCAATCTAACCACCTTGCGACCTCCAAAATGTTGTCATTTGTGGACCTTAAGGTCCTCCGCGGGGCATACCAGGAGAGGTGGTCCCGTAGGTACGTGGGTCCTAGGGCTAATGCTTAAGACGGCCTTGCATAGGAGGTACAAAGTGTTGGATCTTTGTGTTGGAAGTACAAACATACCCCCCCACACACACACAGTTGAGATAATGGTCAGGCAGATTCAGGGCTGGGGGAGTTAGAGGTCCCAATTGAGGAATCCCTCTCGGAGCCATGTGCAAGGAAGGTGAAATAAATCATGCTCAACAAATTAAAAATAGACTTTTCTTCAAATAGTTGGCTGTATTCAGTCACCTATGCATAGTGGTTAAGAACGGTAGTCTCGTAATCTGGGGAACCGGGTTCGTGTCTCCGCTCCTCCACATGCAGCTGCTGGGTGACCTTGGGCTAGTCACACTTCTCTGAAGTCTCTCAGCCCCACTCACCTCACAGAGTGTTTGTTGTGGGGGAGGAAGGGAAAGGAGAATGTTAGCCGCTTTGAGACTCCTGAAGGGGAGTGAAAGGCGGGATATCAAATCCAAACTCTTCTTCTTCTTCTTCTCTCCAATTTGCTGAGAGGAAATCAGAAGCTTTTGCTTCCATTTTTGACTAACTAAGGTTTGTTGTTATGTCTGAATCCAAACAAACTGTGGATAGGTTTATCTACACTTTAGGAAAACAAGTCAACTTCAAACTGTGGCTTGTGGTCCTGGTTTGTTTTGCTAAACCATAGTGAAGATTAACCACAGTTGTGGCTTCGGGCATAAGAGCAAACCAGAGTTAACTGCAGCTGTGCTGAAGAAGGAAGAGGGAGAACAGAGCCTGAGGCCATGCTAAACCATAGTTTAGCATTACATCTGAACCAAGTCTTGGTGGCAGCTATTACTTATTAAACAGAAAATTATCTTACACTTCCTCCAGAAATTTTAAAATGTCATCTTTATTGAGGTTTTGATGCAGCATTTCTTTAAATGCAATGAATGAATTTATTCATCAATGAAAAGGCAGGTAATTCTTGAATCTATTGACAGCTCAAAAAAAAATCAAAGAAGGAGTTAAAAACCTGGATGCATAGGTATCCCCAATATCTCAGTTGTAAACAAAATTGTGTTACCTGTTGCATACTATCTGCCACTGTGAAAACCTTGAATTCCGACTTATTATGTTTGGGTCGTCTGGACTCGGTGCTCCCAAAAGCTGATCAGTGCACACATCACATTCATTTCTGCCTGTAGCAAAATTCCAGTAAGGCAATGCAAAGGAATCGTTCCCAATCATCCGCTAAACATGAGAGTGGGGAGATGGAGGGGGGTGGAGATGAAGCAACTTTGGATTAGTTCTTTGCATAAAACATTTGTTTAAAAAAATTCCGCAGCTCAACAAACCTCATATAACCTCTTTGCAACACTATCCCAAACTGTCTCTTTCCTTTTTCAAACCCAGGCCATCCCAATCCCTACAAAAACATGGATATCTCTTCAGGTAGGTGTGCTATATTTGCCTGAAATCAGAGCACAAAGTTTCTACACACACACACACACACACACACACACACACACACATGTGCCTTGTGTTGCATACAAAACAAATCTATGATTCTATCAGAAGGGACGTGGAGGATCATTGAGTCCAAGCCTTTGCAATGCAGGATGTTATGTACTGAGTTGAATAGGATCCAAAAGGCAGCAGTCTGATTGGTCCTAGAACAATAGGATTCAGAATGCAGCAGTCTGATTGGTCCTAGAACAATAGGGTCCCAAATGCAGCAGTCTGATTGGTCCACAGGAGCCACCCAATCCAGCTCCAGGTGGAAGTGAATCCGCAACCTGATTGGCCTACAGGTGAATCCCTGAATTAGCCAATCACGTGGGGCCCATTGTGTAAATAATGTATATAAAGCAGACATTCTGGGGGAACTTTCATTCCTCCTCACCACTATGAGCTGAATAAAGAGCATGAAATCCACTCTAGACTCTGAGTACCGTATTTTTCGCTCTATAGGACGCACCGGACAATAGGACACACCTTGTTTTAGAGGGGGGAGAACAAGAAAAAAAAATTCTCCCCCTCTCTGCCCAGCGCCCCTTCAGTGAAGCAGCAGGAGGTGCTGCACAGAGAGGAGAATTTTCCCCCCTTGTTTTCCCCCTCTAAAACAAGGTGCCATTCAAGGTGCGTTCAGTCGAGGCTGGAGAGCGAGCCTCGCTCTCCAGGCTCAAGGTTCCTTTCGACCTGCTCTTTGGAGCTGGGGGGGAAGCCCACCGCCAGCCCCAAAGAGCAGGTCGGGGAGCAGCGGAAAGGCGCGCAGCGGAGAGGCGGCTGCCATAGCCGCGCGCCACATCTCCAGCCAGGAGAGGGTCGTGGGGCTATGGCAATACCCCCACCTCCCGCAAAAGCCCACAGGAGCCGTGCACCCTTTAAGGAGCACGCGGCTCCTGTGGGCTTTTCTACGAGGAGGGAGAAGGGACTGACTGGTCGCGTCAGTCCCTTGTCCCTCCTGAGGAAAAGCTCGCAAGAGCCGCGCGGAGCTTGTGTGCGGCTTTTGGGGGCTTTTCCTGCCTGCCTCCCCCCTGCATTCGCTCCATAGGACGCACACACATTTCCCCTTCATTTTTGGAGGGGAAAAGGTGCGTCCTATAGAGTGAAAAATATGGTATATTTCACAGGAATATACAGCTGTCCCATATAGGGATTGAACCTGCGACCTTGCTGTTATCAGCAGCATGCTGTAACCAACTGAGCTATCCAATGAATTGCCTTTGCATCAAAATGAAAAGACAGGAACAATGTAATGATAGCAGACAACGGACAGCGAGGCAAACATAGTTTTAGCAGAAGATGAACAGCAGTGGAATGGAAACAGTGTTGCATGTTAAAATACAGGGGGGAAGAGAAGGAACGCTCAGTCATAGAATCATAGAATCATAGAGTTGGAAGAGACCACAAGGGCCATCAAGTCCAACCCCCTGCCAAGCAGGAAACACCATCAGAGCACTCCTGACATATGGTTGTCAAGCCTCTGCTTAAAGACCTCCAAAGAAGGAGACTCCACCACACTCCTTGGCAGCAAATTCCACTGTCGAACAGCTCTTACTGTCAGGAAGTTCTTCCTAATGTTTAGGTGGAATCTTCTTTCTTGTAGTTTGGATCCATTGCTCCGTGTCCGCTTCTCTGGAGCAGCAGAAAGCAACCTTTCTCCCTCCTCTATGTGACATCCTTTTATATATTTGAACATGGCTATCATATCACCCCTTAACCTCCTCTTCTCCAGGCTAAACATGCCCAGCTCCCTTAGCCGTTCCTCATAAGGCATCGTTTCCAGGCCTTTGACCATTTTGGTTGCCCTCCTCTGGACACGTTCCAGTTTGTCAGTGTCCTTCTTGAACTGTGGTGCCCAGAACTGGACACAGTACTCCAGGTGAGGTCTGACCAGAGCAGAATACAGTGGCACTATTACTTCCCTTGATCTAGATGCTATACTCCTATTGATGCAGCACAGAGTTGCATTGGCTTTTCTAGCTGCCGCGTCACAGTCCTCAGACTGTGGGTGCCCTTTGTGGGATCACATGCAGCACCCCCAAGACTCGTGGGATCTACCAGCTCGCCATGCTGACCCGCCTCCCTGATGCTGCAGCCATTGGGTGTTCCCAACAAACCTTGGTTCAAATAATCCAATCAGTGGCATTGGTGGAGGCGGGGCCAGCCGAGGGGACTGTGAGTGAGCAGAATTCACTCTGGTCTACTCGTGCTATTTATTAGGGGGCGGAGCCAACAGCAAAGCATGCAGTGGTCTCTCAGGGGTCAGGGGGTCACCGCCTGGGCATGCAAAACAATCATTCTTACATGCCTAATTAGAGTGGGATGGCCTTGGATTATTGTCTGTGTAGTTTATCCCCACCTCAACCGATCCCTCTACCAGCCAATGCAGCTGTGGTCTAAACCACTGAGCCTCTTGGGCTTGCTGATCAGAAGGTCAACAGTTTGAATCCCCATGACGGGGTGAGCTTCCATTGCTCTGTCCCAGCTCCTGCCAACCTAGTAGTTCGAAAGCACACCAGTGAAAGTAGATAAATAGGTACCACTGTGGCAGGAAGGTAAACAGCATTTCCATGCGCTCTGGTTTCCGTCATGGTGTTCCATTGCACCGGAAGCGGTTTAGTCATGCTGGCCACATGACCCAGAAAGCTGTCTGTGGACAAATGCCGGCTCCCTCAGCCTGAAAGCAAGATGAGCGCCGCATCCCCATAGTCACCTTTGACTGGACCTAACCATCCAAGGGTCATTTACCTTTACCTTTACCAATGCAACAGATAGGGAAGCTTGAAATCCTTTATCACATCATTCTCTTTCCTCAGTACCATCTTTACACATTTCCCATTTTGTGCTAGAATGCTAAGCCTTAAAGAAGCTCATTATGCTGAGAATTCCTCCCTCTCGGGAATGGGGTGGGGGTGAGAGGGAGGGAGGGCTTAGAAGCGTCTCTATTTACATCTTTCAAACATACACCAGTCGGTGTTTTCACTAACCTGCAGATCTCTTTCCAGCAGCAGCAAGTGATACCTGTGCCAAGTTACAAAGGCAGGTCCTTGGTGGGAGAAGTCTATTGCTGTGAAGGGGCGGCCTGGTCCTGTGGTTAAAATGGAATTAAACTTAGAAAGGGGACGTTTTCTCTATCACATTGGCTAGAAATCCATTTTAAAAAACATTGCTACAATGCCTTGACAGACGAGGGAAAGCTGTGCCTTTTGCTGTCCTGGCTTATAAATTATGGCACATTCTTGTTTCTAAAATTCTAGATATCTATCCATCTAGCTGACTGCCATATGCCCAGGATTCAGATTAGGCCACATAGGCTCAGTTGAAATGTTATCTGCCAGCACCATTCTTTCTTCTTATCCTATGGTGAAAATCCTGTATGCTTTGCTTGGAAAGTCAGAATGGAAAACTATTTCCATTTTTGGCTATCAGAACAGTGATCGTATGTGGCTCTAAACTTTATGTTTCAGACAAAGGGTAATACTAGAACATTTCCACATCTATTTCTGATTTATTGGAGGTTTTTTAATGGCTTTCTTGTGTGTTTTTAAAGAAAAGTGTGCGCGCACCCCCAAAAAACCCAAACAGTGTAAAATAAATGTACAGTGGTGCCCCGCAAGACGAATGCCTCGCAAGACGAAAAACTCGCTAGACGAAAGGGTTTTGCATTTTTTTGAGTCGTTCCGCAAGACGAATTTCCCTATGGGCTTGCTTCGCAAGACGAAACGTCTTGCGAGTTCTTGCGAGTTTGTTCCTTTTTCTTAAAGCCACTAAGCCGTTAATAGCCGCTAAGCCGCTAAGCCGTTAATAGCCGCTAAGCCGCTAATAGCCGTGCTTCGCAAGACGAAAAAACCGCAAGATGAAGAGACTCGCGGAACGGATTACTTTTGTCTTGCGAGGCACCACTGTAATACAAATTCAAACCTCAGTACTGTACAAACCATACTACCTTTCTACTAACTAGACTATTCCAAAAATTACATGAATCCTAAGAAGCTTCAAGGAGCATTCCAAAGCTCCTAAGTAGGGAGAATGGGGGGGGGGGGGATCCTTTTCCCCAGAAGAGGGGAAGTTCTCAGACAAATCACATCCACTGTGTTGGAAATGTTCCATTTCCTATGTTAACTACAGTGTGTTTTTCCAAAGTGGTTTTTTTTAAAAAAAAAAAACCACCACTCTGTTGACATTCCTTTTAGTGTGTGTTTCACCTTTTCCTATCTTATCCCTTGCTAATGGAAATCACCAACCTAAAAGAGTGTCTCTGACTGAGTAATAATGAAGCCACACATAGTAATTGTAAATGCTGCAATTTGCAACTTGCGGGTCATTTCCACTGGGACCAAGCAGACTCAGCCAATGCTGTGTAGCGATCACATAGTCAGGGTGAACGGTGGTCTTTGCACGGTTGAGGGCATCCAAGAATTGCTCTCGCTCTTCCTCCGTCAAAGCGTGGATATTCTTCCGGACAACCAGAGGCTTCTTCTCATCACAGTTGGGTCCTGACCAACCAAATTTGCAGTCCCCACAGTTGTAGCCGGCAAAGTTCCCTGTATTAAAAGACAGCATCAGTCATACGTCAGCATACAGAAGCAGAAGATGTTACCCAAACCTCTCTGTGATGACGAGGAGTTAAAGGCTGAATAAATGCTAAACATTCAAAGCTATCAGGGACCGTGCTAAGGAGGTCTGCACTGAGGAGGAATGCTGGGAGCCTCCCCTCCCCCTCCGCCTGCTCCTGCTCCAGATCCTGAATCTTCCTAGGAGCAGGAGGACCGTATAGATTTGGAACAGTGGTTTGCAGAAGGGCATAGTTCAGAAAGCAGAAGCTGGGAAATACTGGATGGGGAACAGCTAGGAGAAGAAACACTGGGAGAGAGAGGGTTAACAGATTCACAGTCTCTGGACAGCATTCACTCCCCTTCTCCAAAGTCAAGGAGAGCTCAGAAAGTGGCATAACAGAAAGCACAGAGGGTACAAGCTCAGATTACAAGACATAGAAGTGACGTAGATTAATAAGGACGGAAAGGGGTGGATTCCTTAACTGGGAGCACCGCCATTTCTAGGAGATGTGTTCTTTGCTCTCTCGCTGTGATTATTAAAGTTTCTAACTGGTAAGAAGACTCCTTTTCCTTTGTTCTGCTTATCTACTGCCACGGGAGGGGAAGCCAATTCCCTGAAGCCTGACAAAAGCACACACATGCACATCAAGAAGCCTGAGAACTATAATTTGTTAAGGAGGCTGGGAATTGTAACTCAGAGAGGGGTAAATTCCATTTTCCATGATTCTTTGTGATTCTTTAAATGTATGTTGTGTATGCAGCCAAAATGACTACATGCTCTCCAACATCTCAGGAGGGCTGTTTCCATAAATCCACCACCATGTGTACGCTAAAGGCATTGTGAACAAATGAGACCATGACTGCTACCTTGGTCAGATTTGCCAGCCATCCTCCCTGAAGTCTGCAGAGTTGGTATGACATTTGGAAAAAAAGCAGCCTAAACCTGATGAACAAGCTCACCAAGCAGTAGGTAACACGGAGCCAGCTATGAGAACAGATTTAAAATATATATTTATTTTTAAGCAGTAGTATTCCCCTTCCCTGGTTCTGAGATCTGGAGAGATCACTGCCCCCTGGGATTTAGCTTCAGCAGAAATAAAAACCCCAGAAACAGAGTATAGACTGTGTAGAAATGGCCAGGGTCATTCTTTGCCTCAATTCAGATCAAAGCTGGTTTGGGGGGAAAGACCCCAAAATGCAGTACTGTCATTCATAAGAAATGACAGTATAGATACTGATTGGGACTAAAGCCCTGTGAACACCACTTCCCAAAATGGTACAGGGAGCACATGGGATGCAGAGAAAAGGGGAATGTGTGGACAGGATTTGCTGACTTGTCTCAACATACGAGGAAAATCTATCACATTCATAAAAGATGAAGTATGGAAGAAGCCATCTAAGAGCCATAATGGCTGGTAATTGCTTGCAATTACATTCATGACCTCTGCCCTAAATCAGTCGACGCATTCAAACAATAATCCCTTACAAGCAGTATTAGCAGAAGAAAACTGGGATAGGTCAGACTTTCATATTCAATTATTTCTGATTTATAATGCCCTAGCTACAAGGAGGAGCAGTGTCCACAGAACAAAGTATTGCTCTAATAACAGTAGCTCAGTAAGGCCACTGAGCCACCTCCCCGATGGTAGGTCATTAACAGAGGCAGTTTTATAGAAGTGCAAACACTGTGGTTGCATTGCAGGGGGCGCCAAAATGATGCTGCAAAACAGAGTGTGAGAGGTGGGGGGGCTCAATTTTAGCATTGGGCGAGGCACCACTGAAATTTGAGAGTTTGCCACTGTCATTAACTGCAACCACTGAGCCTCTTGGGCTTGCCAATCAGAAGGTCGGCAGTTCAAATCCCCGCTACGGGGTGAGCTCCCGTTGCTCTGTCCCAGCTCCTGCCAACCTAGCAGTTCGAAAGCACACCTGTGCAAGTAGATAAATAGGTACCGCTGCGGTGGGAAGGTAAACAGCGTTTCTGTGCACTCTGGTTTCCGTCACAGTGTCCCATAGCGCCAGAAGCGGTTTAGTCATGCTGGACACATGACCCGGAAAGCTGTCTGTGGACAAACACCGGCTCCCTCAGCCTGAAAGCGAGATGAGCGCCACAACCCCATAGTTGCCTTTGACTGGACTTAACTGTCCAGGCGTCCTTTACCTTTTACCCTCCAACATTTCTCCAATGAAAATAAGGACATCCTATTCCATACTCTCCAACATTTCTCTGATGAAACTAGGGACGTCCTAAGGAAAAGCGGGACATTCTGGGATCAAATCAGAAAGCGGGACAGCTTCTGTAAATCCGGGGCTGTCCCTGGAAAATAGGGGCACTTGGAGGGTTTGCATATATAGCATGCACAACCTTGGTCTCTCAGGAAATCCAGCTAGGTTGGCAGTCTGTGTTGACTGACCCACCTAACTCAAGAGAGACCATCAGTCGTGTACTGGCACCTTGCTTTGTAATCTCCCAGCCTCTACAGTCCCAGACCGGAAGCAAGCTCCTGCCAACCTAGCAGTTCGAAAGCACATCAAAGTGCAAGTAGATAAATAGGTACCGCTCTGGCAGGAAGGTAAACGGTGTTTCCGTGTGCCGCTCTGGTTTGCCAGAAGCGGCTTAGTCATGCTGGCCACATGACCTGGAAGCTGTACGCCGGCTCCCTCGGCCAATAAAGCGAGATGAGCGCCGCAACCCCAGAGTCGGCCACGACTGGACCTAATGGTCAGGGGTCCCTTTACCTTTAGTGGGCCGCCACATGGCTGCTGGGGCACAAGTTGTGCAGACCCGATCTAAATTTGGGCATGAGTCCATGGGGACGAACCAGTTCTGACAAGCAGGAATTCTTTTCGCTGCTCTGGCTTGAAAACAACTGCATTCAGAAGTAGCGTCATGCCTGATGATAGTTTTAAAGTGCCTAAGCTCTGCAGGGACATTTAAGCCACACTTCTAAATAACTCTTCTGATAACTGCAATGACAAGCTGCAATTGTTTCAGATGGTTCAGGCAAGCAAATGTCATCACTAACTCTTTAACTGCATCTGGGAAGGATACAGTCAAGATTACCCCCGCAATGGAGAAAATGAAGATGAAGAGAACATATGTTGTTTGATGAGGTGCAAATGCCCTATTTTCAGAACCGAAACCTTTGTGGTCTGAAGTATCTAGTTGCCACCTGGCTCCTGTTTGAAGCTTACCTGCAGACAATGCCAGCTCCAGATTTTGGGAGCTCATGAACAAAATACCCTCTCTAGACCGCCTACAAACATGAGTGCCTTAAGAGAGCTCCCAGTTCAGACCAAAGATCTATCTAGTCCAAATAAAAGTGGGGAGGATCATTTCCCCTGCCTTAAGATCCTTGAAGTAAAAATGGGATGTAAATATAATGAATAAATTAACATAGCATTATCTCTGTGTTTTAACCTGGCAATCAAATTGACATTGAGGGACTTGATAGGTACAACCGCAGCAACTGTTACTGGCTCTTTTCTTTCTTTTTCCTTTTCTCGCCTCTGGGCAAATTGGCTACCCTAATGCATTTGATGCGGAACACACAAATGCTTTCAAATGAAACCTTATCTGTCAGCTCAAAACTTTCCTTCAAGCTGCCTCATGCGCTGTTCTTACATGAGGTCTCATAACTGCACTTCGTGTTCTGGTGGCTGAAACATTTGGCAAAGACGGAACAGTGCTGCCTTTAGCATAACAGAGCGATATTATCAGCAAAGCAGCCACCAGAAGGTAAAACTAATGCATTAGAAAAACAAACAACTATACCAGAGAACGCACTTTGGGAGATCTTGGAGATTTCCAAAAAGATCTCTTGTTTGTCTAATTGCAGCTACTAAACTGGTAATTAGCTCCAGATCTTCCTCCAAATTAACGCAGTTCAAAAACCCAAGAGCAGGAAGTGAAGAAAATGTCGTATTCATTTTAATACTGTTTTGTTATTGTTTGGTGACTGTGAGCATCTATTTATCAGTCTGTTGACTACTAAAACATTCCCAAATGATAGGAGATAGCTGGAATAGAAATCTCTCCCCCAGCTTCTGCAATGTGATATCCAGTGCTTGGGGAAGATGACGATTCTCTAGGTGAGAAGCAGAGTAAATAAAGTTGGATCCAGATGTCAGTCTGAATTTAGAGAGCATTAGAGAGAGTTTGGGAGCTGTAAAATTGTCTGGAGGTATAAAAGCTGAGCTGAGCTTTCAGAAATGCTGTATGGGATTTGCTTTCTACTGTAGGAGTTTCTGTTTGCTTCCAGTATACTCTGCTCATATACTTACAATTTCAACATATATTGCAAAGGCACCATAAATCTCTAGTGGTCTCTCCCCCAAAGGAAGTTAAATTTGTAGCTCTTCCCTTGTAAATTTTCACCATTCAGGAAAATGAGGACCATATAACAGTACATTGGCCTTAGTGTCTTTCTTGTCAGGCAATTAGTAAGTTCCGTGAATCAAAAGGCCTCTTTTTAATGTGGGGGAAAGCCTAAAAGTGGCAAAAGTGGCAAAACTCTGTTCTCCTGCCTTTCATCATGATGTACGTCTGATTCGGGTCTGAACACATTACAAAGCTGAGCACCTGTAGCCATTTTCTTCCTGCTTCTGTATAGCTGTTTTTGGAACGTTAATAGGGAAATGTAACACTGGAAACGGTTGATATGTATCACAAGTACTGGGGATGAAAATAAGAAATATAAAACGTAGCTTTGTGTCTATTTTGCACATGCAAAATAGATGGAACCTGGCAGAATCATGGGGACCTTCTAGTACAGTGGTACCTTGGGTTAAGTACTTAATTTGTTCCGGAGGTCCGTTCTTAACCTGAAACTGTTCTTAACCTGAAGCACCACTTTAGCTACTGTGCTGCTGGAGTACAATTTCTCTTCTCATCCTGAAGGAAAGTTCTTAACCTGAAGCACTATTTCTGGGTTAGCGGAGTCTGTAACCTGAAACGTATGTAACCTGAAGCGTATGTAACCTGAGGTACCACTGTATATTTCTGAATCTCCCTGGCTTTCTCCAGAGAGTAAGGAACCTCCCTCCCAGTATACCCGAAGGAGCGTCTTCACACCCATCATTCAGCCCTCATACACTGAGGTCCACCTCCGAGGGCCTTCTGGTGGTTCCCTCACTGCGAGAAATGAGTTAACAGGGAACCAGACAGAGGGCCTTCTCGGTAGTGGCACCCGCCCTGTGGAACACCCTCCCATCAGATGTCAAGGAAATAAACAACTATCTGACTTTTAGAAGACATCTGAAGACAACCCTATTTAGGGAAGTTTTTAAAGTTTGATGTCTTGTCATGTTTTTAATATTCTGTTGGGAGCCGCCCAGAGTGGGTGGGGTATAAATTATATTATTATTATTATTATTATCATCTTCTTCTTCTTCTTCTCACCTGTACACTGACAACTTCTGTTGAAGAATTTCAGCGGCCATCGTTCTCGGTCGTCCACATTGTGGAGAGTGTAGGGCCCACTCCAGGGTCTGGTGTCCACCTGCACCTCCTTACAGATCCCCCTGCCTTGCTGCAAGCCGCACACGTTGTCAGGATTAGGCCCCAAAGGAGGGCAGCATTGCTTGGACTGCAGCATCTCCACAGTCATGCACGCCCGTGGGAACTGCGCCGTGGTCTCCGGAAGCCAAAGGGGGCTCAGGCATCCTAAGAGAGCGCAGCAAAGCAGCAGGAAGGCCATCAGTATCAGACTCCAGGACTTCTCGACTCGCTTTGTTCAACCTGCAAAGTCAGCATGGGATTCAGGGCAGGCGGTCTTATTCGCAGCCTCTGGGCTGAACAAGCAAGCCAGGATTTATGTGACCAAATGAGGTCTACAACCCACAACCGGGTTAGACTTTGGGGCGTTTGCTTAATCCTGGAGCCTAATTTTATTGAATGCGGTAGAAAGGAGGACAGTTTGGTCCTTTGTTGCTTGCCAAGAGGCCATGGCTGGGGGGTTTCTGTGTAGGGGCAGCAAACCCTAATTAGAAGGATTAGCTTTCTACCAACCCTCGTGCTTAGCACATGACATGAAGGGCAAAAAGAGGCCTTTTGAGAGGTGGGAGATATGGGAAAGACTTTGGCTCTGGGTCTCCTTGTCTTCTCTCTCGCTTGTTCTCTTTTGTATTCTGCAACACCGCTAGCATCAGAGTTCATGCACTGTGCATGGAGACACCGGTTTCTTTGTGGCATAGATAGCTAGAATAAATATAATGTTATGCAGAGAGAGAGAGAGAGAGAGAATTTAAAACAGTAACCTACTATAAAAACCTTAAATAAATACTCAGCGCTGAAAGCCTCAGCCTATCTGCTGCACCTATCTCTGGTTTGATAATATTGTGAGTTTCTTTGTCTTGTCTTTGTTCTTTCGGACTTGCCTTGTATTTTCAGATTGGTTTTAATTGTTCATAGCTGCAAAAAGTAGCAGGCAGGCACCAGATGGCTGAGGTGTAGAACTTCTCTAGAGATAAATAAAATAAGTACTGTATAAATAAATTGGAAGCAGATAATCGTTTATGAGAAAACCAAGAGCAGTTGGAGGGAAGTTTTCGCTTCTCACTGTGGAGCATATACACACATCTTTTGTACCATTGTTACCTCTGAGAAGACAGGATTTGCAGGTCTTTTAAACAGTATCGAAAATCTGCTAAATATTGTTACTGGAGGAAAAAGCAATATGAGTTTGCAAGACACTAATAGTGACATTCCTCTTCCAAACCAATTTCTTCTCTCTCTCTCTCTCTCTCTCTCTCCCTCCCTCCCTCTTTTAAGTATATTTCTGGCCTGAAGAATGTCAAGAAAGGAAGGAGGGAGAAAGGAAAGGAAAGAAAACAGAAGCCAACAATTGCTATAGTCCTTGCTCAGCAACAGAAGGGGATGCCAGACTCTGGGAAGTGAGTCACATGCTTTGTGTGCATAAAGACTTACATGAAGGTTCAGATAAACGGACTGGAAGCAGGACTGACTTGGTATAAGACAGCTTTCCATGCGCAACTGTTTCTGGGGAGGCTGGTCCATAACTCTGCACATGCATAAGATCTCAGGTCCAGTTCTAGGACTGGAACAAGTGTTTTTGGAATTTCCTGGGCACAGAGCAAGAAGAAGTGTGAATGAGTCCTTGCTGTGGGCTTTCCTCCCCCCTACTTTCACAGGGGTACACCCTCCAATGTCAATGTTCTCCCTCCAAGCACACCCACCCCATAAGATTGCCTGCCCCAATTCCTGCCCACAAGGCTTGTTTGGTTTGGTTTTCTTGTACCATCTTGCATCTGCCAATCTCCCTAAACTGAGGATTCATTTCCTAAAGTAATGAAACGGCATTACAAACGCAATTAATTCACCAGAAATTCGCCTTGAGCAACCCCATCTCAAGAAACGGTAGGCAAGTTGTCTGCCAACTTACCCAGGCCAGACTTTTAAGATGATATCAAACATGTACATACTCATTCAGGTGACATCTCCCCCTTCCCCCTGAAGGTTCAAAGCTTTCGATTTCATTGTATGCTTGCAATAATCCCGTGAGGTCGTTTGGGCTGCGAGGTTATCACAGCCTAAGCAACCTCATGGGATTATTGCACTTAGTACCTCTTTGCCCGAATTTTCTTGGGTTTTTTATCATTAGAAGGCAGAGCATGAGTGCAGCCCATGAAAGAAACACTAGACTTCTGCAATGTGTCACAGAGGAGGTGGCTGGGACTCTGGCAGAAATCCTTGGGACGAGAATTGGAGAATTAACAAGCAAGCTCCTATTTTCATCTGAGAAATATCAGAAATTAAGTTGGAAGTTAAATGACTCAAGCTCTTCCAACCTACCCTTTCACTGTCAAATTTAATGTTACTGCACCCCATTAGCCAGTGTGTGACAATTATTTAACTAATACACATTCTGATTTTACCAGGTATCTATATTTGAATAGAAGTAGGCTTAGATATTTGGACAAACAGCCTCACACAGTTCTCATCATCATCACTCCAGCTGGAATCTGAATTATGTCTCCAGCCGTAGGCTCAAGCACTGAGAACCAGTACTTCTTAAAACTGGGGCTCCTTCAGGCACTGAAGCTATGCACCCCATAGAAAATGACTAGATGGTGCTCTGGACACACCCCTTGGCTAATCTGCAGAAACTGTGGTTCCTGAGACAACGCAATTCCTCTCCTCAAAGTGCATAGCACACATGTTAACAGGGTTCCTTCGTATTACACCACGAGAAAAGCTGTAAGAGGCCTCAGACCAGTAACAAAAGCATCACTGGATGGCAGCCCATTGACACCATGGCAGTGAAGTATCACTTCTTTGCCACCACTTTGTAGCCTGGGTAACATGTTCACCCTTGTGTTAGTCTAGATGGACATCAGGGTTTACCAACACCAAAGTTCTACCTATCTCCCTGCCCTGTTTCATTGCCCGTAACATCCCCAGAAAATCAAAGTATTGGATGGGCTCTGTATTGGAGGACAGGATGCTTAGGAACAATCATGTCAACCTCCTGAGTCATCTCCACATCCCACAGAATGACCAGGACATTGACAGAATAGTCAACCATTCTAGCCAGAAACTTCCCAAGAGCTCTCAAGAATCACTCCAATTCCTACCTGGAATCCTCATCTCCTGTTCCTCTGATATCAAGTATGTGATGGCTGGATTCCAAGGGATGGTGCAGAAATGACGTTTCTCCTCAAATGTATGGCTTCCTGGCAGGCCCAACACCAGGGATCAGCATGGATGGGTACCTCCCGGGACTCAGAAAGGGCCATCGCCTACCCACATCTGCCAGATGTCATCAGGACCATCTACTGGCGCTTTGTGGCCCTGCCATGTTCACCACCACCAAAGCTGTTGCCGCTTGCTGCCATCACTTCACACAAACCTCACTTTTAAACACGAGCCAAACTCATGCTTGGCTCTGCTCTGCGGTGGCCACATTGCCCTGAAACTCAAAACTTGACCAAACATTGGGTCAGGCATTGAGTTTCAAGCAGGGGCCCATCTTGCTGTCAGCACCATGCTGAAGTTCCAGCGAAGCCCGGCACCGGCTCTCCTACTTGATTTTTCATCTTCAAAAAGTTCTTTTCAAAGCAAGATCTGAGAAAACAGTTCAACACCAAAGGGCATACTATCCTATGAACAAGACAAGGCAGCAGGCACACACATTCAGCAAACATTCAATGAATGAGTCTTCTGTGTGTGGAACACTTTGTCTCTGGTGTTTTGGTTTGTTGATGTGATGGTACTTTAATGACTGGCTTGTCCTTCTGGGAAACAGGAAATGTGAGCCATCGGCAGGACTGTTTGTTCACCGGACATGGGAAGCCATATTACCGAATCACGCAAATCACGCAATTGTTTGCCCCGGATATGTGTGCGTACGTGAGCAAGCATTGAAGTGAATCACATGCTCCGTGAGAGTGGTTTATTTGCTTTGCTTTTTATCCGTGCAGAAACCCAGGTCTCAAAGTTGGCGGAAGGAAACACAACAAAACTACTGTGCAGAAGTCATTCAAATTCATTGACATATTTCTGCATGTGGAACAATGGAAGCATTGATTGCCTGAAATAAATAGTAATAGTAGTAGCAGTAGTAGTAGCTAAACAAAGCAAGCTTCTTTCTTTAAGCCTTAAGGCTTTCCTTAACAATATAGCCATAAATTTATTTTATGATGGATTTTGACCTAGAAGCAACATGATGTTATTTAGGGCAAATGTACCTAAATGATCTGTGGGCTAGGCTGGCCCTATCACAAGCCATGCAGATCAGGAACAGAAGGAACACCTTCTAGACAAGTGTTTATTGCGGCATCACTGCTCCTCAGGCAGGCAAGCTTTTCCCAGTGTTCAGTCCCAGCTCCTGCCCACCTAGCAGTTCGAAAGCACATAAAAGTGCAAGTAGATAAATAGGTACCGCTCCGGCGGGAAGGTAAACGGCGTTTCCGTGCCCTGCTCTGGTTCGTGAAAAGTGGCTTAGTCATGCTGGCCACATGACCCGGAAGCTGTCTGCAGACAAACGCCGGCTTCCTCGGCCTACAGAGCGAGATGAGCGCCGCAACCCCAGAGTCGTCCGCGACTGGACCGAATGGTCAGGGGTACCTTTACCTTTTTAAGGCATGGGTAGAGGACACAGGTTGTGCTATGGTCTAAACCACTGAGCCTAGGGCTTGCCGATCGGAAGCTTAGCGGTTCGAATCCCCGCAATAGGGTGAACTCCCATTGCTCGGTCCCTGCTCCTGCCCACCTAGCAATTCGAAAGCACGTCAAAGTGCAAGTAGATAAATAGGTACCGTTCCGGCGGGAAGGTAAATGGTGTTTTCGTGCGCTGCTCTGGTTTCGCCAGAAGCGGCTTAGTCATGACCCAGAAAAACTGTCTGTGGACAAACGCCGGCTCCCTTGGCCAGTAAAGTGAGATGAGCGCCGCAACCCCAGAGTCGTCCGTGACTGGACCTAATGGTCAGGGGTCCCTTTACCTTTACCTTTACCTTTAGGCAAACTAAGGCCCGGCCCAATCACCTTCTAAATCAGGCCCCGGGACGGTCTGAAAATCAGCATGTTTTTACATGAGTAGAATGTGTCCTTTTATTTAAAATGCATCTCTAGGTTATTTGTGGGACATTTTTTCTTTCTTCAAAATATAGTCTGACCCCCCCACAAGGTCAGAGGGACAGTGGACTGGCCCCCTGTTGAAAAGGTTTGCCAATATAGAAT